ACTTAAAATTTCCCAGACAAAAAAAAAACTCACTTCAGATAGAACATGCACCATCCACACCCCTTTAAATGTCACCAGAGTGCAGAATTCGTTACATGAAGTCGAATCCCGCGAAACGTCTGTCTGCTGACGATGTCAGTGACTAAGACTTTCTTATTCTACACCTCATCGGTTCGCATTCCCAATGCAGATTTTCACTTATGACAATGCCATTTCCATGTTTGCGAGGCTGTCACTGACAGGGATAAGAGGATGACAAGGCGTTCGAGCTACCTCGATCGTCTTTTTAAAGAAAGCGTGAGCAGTACCTCGATGACGTTTGGTTCAGTGGCAAAGCCCATCTTCACCTTTCAGGATGTAAACTTCACAAATCCTGTCTAGTGTCTATTGAGCACCCCTCCATCCCTACCCCCGTCTATTATAGAAGACACACTAATGAAAAGTGTACGGTGTGTGTTGTTTTAAGCATTCATGGTTTGGGGCACCATTTGCATGGCCACCACAGAACATTACAAACGACACATTAAAAATGTTTCTAGTCTTTTGGAGGCTAGAGAAATGGCTAAAAATTCTAGAATAACAATGCTAGTTAAAAAAAACTCTATAGCAGAAATTAGGTATTGGTTATGTGTTACACGGATGGAAAGACAAAATGTTAAAAGGGAAAGTAAGGAAAAAAAACTTGGGCTACCAATCGGCTCATGACTTTTCTTATAACATTATTTCTTAAATGAATGGAGCTTACGGGTTCCATACTGGTCTCTGGCGCCACCGACGGGAACATGGCCACAGGCCGGGCACATGGTTATTTCTTGTGGCAGATAACATTTTAAAATGACTTTCGATCGGACCGAGCGCCACTGAACCAGCCCTGGATGTCGAAGAAAGTATGACACTAAAATTTATTGTATTCTTTACCAATTAATAAAATGAATTTGATCATCGTATGGAAGAAGCGTTGGAATACATGTACCAGATTGGCCGAGTCTGGTGATACAACAAATACTTATTAACGAGCACTCAGACGTAATTCCAGTCCACTATGGAGCTCATCATTTAACTCAATGTTGATCAAAAGAAGGTCAAAATGCCGTACGCACTCGTGTACAAATCAGCGAGACTGGTGCGCACGCTTCTCGGTGAAGTCAATACGGAGCACAAAAAAAGCGGCGGCATAACAGTGCACGGTCTAGGATATTAGAATTCACTAATTCAGGTCTATGGTTAGGGCTAAGAATCAATTATGATATCGTGATTAGCGAAATTAGTAACGTGGGTATTATTAAAATAATTGATTGCTACTGGTTTAGGGGAGAGACACGAGGGCCAGCGTCTATGCTGTGTTGGCTGGGCTCCTCGGCTAACAAAAGACATGAGTTTGATTCTAGCTTCGGGAAGTGCATTTTTCATCGACTGCCTCCGTCGGTCTGCTAAAATTCAGATTCCCAGTCACCGTTTTGGTTTTGTAAGTTTTACAGCACTTGCAACACAATAAGGTCATATAAGTGCCGAAGATTAGAGGTGTTACAAGAGAGTTACAAACAAAAAAGAGAAGGATGGGAGATAAAGACGACAGATGTTCGATAGGAAAGAAGAAGCAAACCGCACCAGAGCACCCGCCAACCACCCACAGTCGTTCTTAAAATGGGGGTTAGAGCAGAACGCTTTCTAAATGATCCAAATCGAGTCGACAAGGAAGTTACGCATTTTCAATCAATAGTCAGAGATACGAGATAAATTTGAAACACCATCTCATGCACATTATTTGTTAAGAACAACCATAGAAGAAGACATACTTTTGATGAGCGGAGACGCTTGTCTTTGAGCAGACATTTAAAGAACACTGTATCGTTTGAAAATTCACATCAAATGCGTTAGGAAGAATTCCGAAATGCTCTCCAGAATTTGGAAACCGAGAGAGAGAGAGAGAGAGAGAGAGAGAGAGAGAGAGAGAGAGAGAGAGGGAGGGGGATCATTTTCATGCAGACTTACTTTATTTGTTATAGATTCTATTTGTACGAGTACCGGGTATTTTACTTTGACCTTATTCGTACGTGTGACAATTCCTCCACTTAAGAGTAAGACTGGACTGTGTCACATTATGTTTCAATTTCAACCGGGCCTGTATCACAGCTGGGAAACTTTCTCCAGTACACAACATTAGGATTTATTGTTAGGTCTACCAACTTCTAGATTTATTTTTACTAATATTCTCTTTTAGCTCCGCCATAGCCCATCATCATACCGGGGTCTGTGATGGTCGCACGCAGGAGAACAATTAAGTTCCATTCGTGAGTGGGGAGAATTTTTATCGAGTGTCTCGGTCGTTTTACTGGTTTGTAGTATCCCTCTCACGTGGTAGTGGAAGTATAGATATGTCAATACATAGTAAAAAATTAGTTTAAAAAACAACGGTTTACATTTTTTAAATGGTACTATCCAATTTGATTACAGACCAGTTGTCTTTATTTCTTTATGAAATAGAGAATTATGTTGGGATCAACGATGTAGAACAAAATCTAAAGCCGCAGATTTGAAAAAAAAAATACTGTTGACGACAAAACCTGAGGTACGGTTTACTTATATCTGTTGTGTAGTTTCATTGCTGCGCTTTCTTCCCCTCACACGTATTATGGCGTGTATAATCAAGTGCCCAAATGTAAAACCAGTACACGACCTTTAAATACCTTTTGTTTTGTAAGTGTTTTACGGCGCTCACAACTGCATAAGGTCATAATATGAGCGCACGGGACACATTAAACACTTTAGTTAAGTTTGGTAGGAATTAATTTTGAATTTTGCTAGGATGGTGACCGAAGCTTACTGTTATCGATTTTGGACCACCAAGAATCTTTAATGTTCGCAACTTGCACACGGGACCGCCGAGATTCTTCGCCCTTATCCGAGAAGGCTATAAGCGTTGGATCTTACCTACCCAAAGATCAGGGGTGTGGCTGAAAGTGAAAGACAACAGTAACAATGAGCCAAGGAGTAGCAGTAGAAAGGCTTCAGAAAGAGTCAGGAGCCCGGGGGAGGGGACTGGGCAGAAAGTGGAGACGAAAGCAGACTACAGACATGGTTAGAGAGCAGGAAAGGAGGTGAAAGGAGGAAATGTTAGAGAAGAAAATGTTCCGTCGTTGTCAGGTTTCGAACCTGGAACCTATAGAAAGAGGCGAACACCGTAAGCTCTAAACTAGCCCCCCCCCCCCCCCTTCCCCCCTTTGACTCCAAAAAAACACTTAGGGAAATGTATGCAGGTCTTTTTTTAAGCAACAGACAGCCGCAGGTCCATCCAATTTTTTGGGACATTTCATCCACTAAAACCACAAAGTCCATAATGTGCTTAAAGGTTTCTAAAAAAAGCAGCTTCTTGCACACAGGTTAAGTGCATTCAGCGAACACTTCCGTCAAGTAGAAAAAAAAAAACGTTCACCTATAATTTATAGGCCTTGTTTGAGTAGAGTAACGAAACGAACATCGACATAATAATGGTCATTTGGTGCAGGGCAAAAAAGCAAGATAGACAGAAACAAAAGATGGATTAGAAAAGAAGTTGGGAGAAGGACGACTTGCCACTGCCACCCTCCAATCACCCGCTTCATAAGCCTACAGCGACACAATAGGAACAAAGCCCAGGATTCACGGCAAAACACTTCGCCTTTGTCCAGGTGACAGGGATTAAGGACTGTCTAACTGTCTAACTGTCTGGCTGAAAATAAATACCTATTTTTATTCTCTGCTCTTTTTTTAAGGGGCGCTAGCGGGGGTCTCGGTGTTTCAGTTTGAGTGATGATTGAATGTAAAACCAGAGAAAGGAAGAGAGTGGGATATCTAAACATATAAATTCAACAATTTATATTAAGATTTATCTGCTTATTTAATTTATTTATTCATTTTCTTTTTTGTTTTTTAGGGAGGGGTGTGTGTTTCAACATAAAATCAACAATGGAAAAAGGGGGAGGGGGGGGGGGAGTTAATGTATTATGAAGAAGGCAGTATGTTCTCAGGTTATTTTATCCTTTGAATAAATCAGAAAAGAACAATCGATGTCTGTGGTGTGGTGGTTAGGCGCTTTACCAATACCATTGCATGATCAAGACCAAAATTTGATTTCTGTATGGGGAGAATTTTATCAAGTATGCCAAGTGTCTTTTTTGCTGGAAACATGGTATTCCTGTCAGCAGGATCAAAGCCCACCTCTTACATTATCTGAAAGGTATCAATGGGTCAATGGGGGGCATTAAAAAGGCACTTATATTTGGTCGCTTTTAAGCACAAGGGGGCTATCCCGAAAAATGCTGTTTAGAGAAAACCGAAGGTTAAGTTTTTGCCCCTTATTCAGTTTCTTTAAAAGACATGAAGAGTTTTCTTTGCAACCAAACAAATATACACACCAGTGAAACCAAACTCAAACTTTTCCTAAAGGTATGGCAATGCCCACTTTTGGAGTAGATCAAAATTTCTGGAAACCCCCAAAATCTGGGTTAGCCTGCTTATCCTTAAAAGCAACCATTTAAACTATAAAAAAAGAAAAGAAAAAGCATTAAAACCTAAAAAAATAGAAAGAAAAGATCTGTATATGTATAATTTCTTTTTATCTACAAAGAAACTTAGGCAGAGAGAGAGAGTACAAAGAAACTAAGGCAGAGAGAGAGAGAGAGAGAGAGAGAGAGAGAGAGAGAGAGAGAGAGAGAGAGTGAGAGACAGATAGAAAGAGAGTGAGAGAGGAGAGAGAGAGAGAGAGAGAGATAGAGAGAGAGAGAGAGAGAGAGAGAGAGAGAGAGAGAGAGAGAGAGAGAGAGAGAGCGAGCACACATAATCATCAGGAGTAAAAAAAAAATCTTTTGTAAAACTCCACCCCCAAATTTTCATCCACGACTCACGCATATTTGTACTGTCAGCGAAAACTCAAAATATTGAAATGATATATGTGTCAAGAACGATGAATGATATAACCTGTAAAATTTCTTGCTAATGAAGAAACTAACATAGAACGAATGTTCTAGAATAAAGTAATTTATTCATGAGTAACACAAAAAAAACCAACAACATGAAGCTGACAGGTTGTTTTTAAAAAAATAACATATTGCTGCCAGTATTTTGGACCACACAAGAACAGGCATCTGTAAGGGAGAGATCTGTGGTGAAGACAGCTGTGATTAATCTGCTACTTCCAGCAACATCATGCATAGCCTACAAAGCCTTTCAGCAGTGCATTTGATTGCAAAAAGTCATTCGTGCTGCCCTCCATTCAGAAGGGGAAATAAATTATTCTATATTACAATAATGATTGATATTAAATAGAAATAAGAAAAAAATTCTTCTTACATTACATCTTTCATGCTAATATTTTTGTTTTATAAATTATACTGTTATCTATTACTATTACCAAACTCACAATGATCAGTAACGCCATAATCAGCTTAATATATTACGTAAATTTTTTAAAAACGCCATTGTTTCTGTTCTGTCTGCTTCAATAATTTCCAAACATGTCCGTTTCCAAAGGCAAAACAAAAGAGATCTAATCAAAGACCTACTACTGTGACTACAGATAAATAAATCACGACTGTTAAAAAAGAACTGAAGGTAAAAGCATACAATAACAGTGTCAAAAAATTCAATAAAAACATAAAACCGTAACATTATCAAATGGGAATCAGAGAGCTGTAATAGAAAGTAGAAATGCCACATTTGCATTCAATAAAATGCACTTACTATTCAGACTAATCAGACACTTGAGAACTGAACTTCAGGAGACAAAACGAACAAGGAGAAAAGAATTTGCTTTGACATGGTGCTTAAGATTTTCATTAAAACTAACATTCAGAGAGCTATTAACTTAATCCAGCACACAGTATGAAATGTCTTACTTCCAGTCTGATTCAACTTTTGGTAAGAGTGTCAGGAAGGGGCAATTATTTCCTCTGCTTCTGTTTCCCGCACCAATAATCTTGCCATAATCCAACACAATATAACCACTATGGAGATTATTTGCTCTTCTCAAGCTGTCTTTTTGCACTTTTTCTTGTCTGAATTAAAATAATATTTGGCGAAAATCCACAATGCATGCAATTCTGTAACTCGATGTCGTAAGACTACATACTGATGCAGATAAAGCATTTCCCATATGGCAATCATATAATTTAAAGGAATTCAATAGACAAACATAAATCAAGAACAGTAAGATTGAAAAAATAGTCATACACATTTTACTGGGCTCAATATTTTGTAAATATTATCATTTCATTCCTCTTAGAATGGTGATCAGTCAGTCAGCTGTAGCATCAGACTGTAATAAAATCTTCTAAATCTGTTTGGAAAAGTGATCACATTAACAACAAGCCAAGAGACATTACTGTACTATCACATTGCAAGTAATATGTTGACCATTATAATCATACAAATCTTTTTAAACATGGTGGCTTTCTCTCACTCACACACCCAAGCATGTCATAACATTTTTCATATAAACAATATGACAACAGCTTCTGCTTTGCTATAACTTCATCTTCCTCATTGAACCAAAATACAGTGTAACACGGATAGGTCGAACACAGAAGACTCGGAATCATGCAACCGTCGAACAGTGCATGCGGTTCCGTTTTTTCTTATTTACTTTTGAAAGATATCCCGCGAACTACGGATCCCTCGAACTTCCGAGGCCTTTCCCAAAGAATTCGAGCTATCCGTATTATACTGAATTATGACCTAACAAATGCACACACACCAATCAATACTCAATTATTATGATCAATGACACAGAGGCACCACAACATAAACTTTTCACACAATTAATTGCACATTGTGATCAGACACCCCCTTCTTAGTATGCCAAAAAAGTAGAGATAAACACACTAGTGTCGATGTTCAAGGTCCCGTGCCACCATCTGTCAGGGAAGTAGATCAACTGGACAGGGGGAGAAAAAAAAGAGAAAAATAAAAACATTTTAGGTAGTTTGAATGAATAGTTGCAGTTTGTGATGAGTCTGCATGATAATTATCCTGACGGTCACAAACATATCAACTGAAAACAAATTAGAAAAAAGAAAGTGAACGGAGTAGATTGTACAACAGGATCCGCTAATCCCTTAAAACATTAATTTAATTTTGGGACGTGAATGCAGGGCAAGCACAACAGGATCGGTGTATTACAAAATTATTGAAAGAAGACTAAAGGGAAGAAACTGAGTCAATGTTAGTAAAGATTAACCAGGAAGTGCACGGCTTCCAACTTCAATTATTCATTCTCTCTGAGATGCAGAGAACCAAACTTTACAATACCATAACAACAGAAGTGGTTGAAATAATAATCAGTAATTAAAATATCAACACCAGCATAACTTATGAACATATGATATCAAACAAACAGTAAATTTCTTATAATATCCCATAATGTCCCTTCAAAAAGCTTAAACACAATCTCGGGGTTACTTCTTAAGTTACTTCACTTCAGACCAGAAACTGTGATCTTTTTTATAGCTTGCACCCCTATTTTTCATATTCAAGAAGCTTAAATATTCATACCACCTACTTACACGTATTTCAAAGAGGGGCATTAAATCTGTCACTACCCAAGTGATCCCCTCTGCCCATCAAAAATACTGTGGGCGAATACACCCAGGTCGGAAAGCACTAAAGTAGACAAAAAAACTTCTACATTCGAAATCAAAGTAAATAGTTATTGTTTTGACAGTAATGATATTTGAGGGACAGGGTGGACATTTTATAAAATCCAGGTGTCCACGAACACACTTACTCAAAGCCATGTGTAATATCATGCTACGTAGATTCACTGCACTTTGGGACGTTTAAGGGATTTTGCCGATTTTGGGTCAGGCAATGCACATTGAGATGTTGGCTGATTTTTGAAGATCAACCAGTTCTTTGTCCAAAAATAGCATGGATACAATTGAGAAAGTCTTTATTCTCCTTGAAAATTGCTTTTTGAAAACATGAGAGTGGGTTAATGTAGTGAATTTTCACAATAATTGTCGTTTTTCGCAAAATGTCAATTTTTACAGTTTTTTCCTTACTCCTTCCTTAGTTTTCATCTTTTTGACATGAAACTTCCAGGAACATAAATGGCAAGGCTACCATCAAAGTAACAGAGAGATATTTGCGAAAAAATAGGACTTTTCCATTGGGAAGCGATTACGCAACCTAAATTTAGCAAAGGTTTTTTATACCTTGGGAAAATTTTCTTTTTTTTTTCGTTTGCACTTATTGGAAAAAACTCGCTGTTATGCTGATAGGGTCTAGTTCAGTTATACTCTCACCATATTTGGTCAAACTTGGTCAGTAAATAAGAAAGCCTTAGGGATTTGAAATGAATTGTTTATTTTCAAGATGGCGGCCGTTTCCATAGTAACCGCTGTAGCTATGCCAAAATAAAATTGCGTATCAAGATATTTTCCTATGCCTAACTTATATGTGTACTTAGATTTGATATCGGGCAACAGACATAGAAAATGGTGCTCAAGGTCGCTCCTCCCGTTAACAAGAAAATAATTTCAAACCATAGTTCACTAAACATACTGAAATGGACCTAAAACTCAGCCTCATGCTAGAAAAGAAACCAGAGCTTAAACTCTTCCTCACCTCTCCCTTTGATATAGTGCATTCCAGGGGTCTCTCAAGTGGGTGCAACTCTTGATAGTCTTCATGTAACCACTGCAGAGTTGTACGGTTTGGGTGGAAGTGAGGAGTTTTATTGGGCGGGTACATGAACCACCTCTGTGAAAAACAAGGAAGCAAAACATGTCATCAAAAATTATTTTCAAGAAATATATACCAAAATAGCTCGAGGGAATTATGTGACAACCACATTAAAAGAAAAGTATGAGTATGAGCCTTATGAGTTGCCAAAATTGGATAGCTTAATTTAAGAAATTTTATAAATATGTCTCACGACGTAGTGGAATCAGGTGCTCGTCAATTTTTGGACAGGTGGAGTTATTGGATTCATCTTCAAGCTTGTTAATTTGTTTTGCTGTCAATGAAAAAAAGTACTCATGTATCTTGAACAAATTTCACATATTTGCAATTGGAGGAGGTGGGGGTCACCTGTTTTAAGAAGAAAAATTAGCTAGAAAATGGTCACCAATGTTAGGTGACTTTCAAAGCTCTAGACTCCTTGGCAATTGCAAAATTATATTTTCCCTGCCTTCGATCAATGTTTTTCATTAAAATCCACACAAACATGCGTTTTTAATTGGAATGGACATAAAATAAAAGGAGTTAAAACTAAAAAATTAAAACCAGATAAAAACTGACAAAGGGGTGGAAAAATTCTTATTTCTTCAATTTCATTATTCTGAGGAGCGCCCGATTTCACCACGATGATCAACATTTTTAAAGAGAGGTCAAGTAGTTGGAAATCTTGTGTAGGGTCACCTTACAACCCTTGAAACCCGATTCATTCTTTTTAAGTTCTGAACTCGTGACAAAAAATCACGTCTCCAAGCAATTCTACATGATGGCTTTTGAGACTGTCTGAGAATAATTGTTTGTGATAATCTCATAAAGTGTTGAAAAGGGGAAACAAAAAAGTGGACAAACTTTTTATGTCAAGTGAGAACACAAGATGTAGTTTGGAAAAGCTATCTTTAAATCGGTTCAAAGAGATAAACCCATATAAGGACACCAAACAATAATTCAGAATTAAGGACTCACCTTGCGACCAAAGACAACTTCTCCAAATCCAGGGCCATGAAAGTGAAAAGGTACCCCAGTCCCAGCACCTGTGAATTGAAATAAGGATACATCAGGTATAAGTTTGGTTTTGAGTAAACAGAAGCATATCAACACAATAAACATCATGTGAAGCAGGGAAAGAGTAAAAGAGACAGTCACAAACAACAGCAGAAGAAACAAAAGAAATAGGTCCTAGCAGTTGCCCCTTCCAGCTACCTGCTTATTTTTTTTATAGTGGAGGGTTTTACGGAACTGCATAAGGTCATATGAGCGCCAAGGGGTGGGTGTCAACAGAGAAGTCTTTACAGGGAATCAGACTTAGACTGCTCACCTCTCTTGCTTCAACAGCACAAAGTCTGCTTCGACTATAAAGGCACCCCAGAAATAGCAGGTCACAAGAGAGTGACAAAACATACAAAAGAAGTAGAGGAAAATGACAATAGTAAGGATTAGGAAAGAAAAAGCAGCAATTCCCTGTTGTAGATCAGGCACAGTTATGAGTGTGACTGAGTCAGCCCATCTACAATTCTACTATGCTTGAACGAGAAATGTCCCCCCTTTGGGAATGGTCTAAAGACACTACAGTCAGTGGCACTGCCCTGGGGGGTAGCTACCCGCTTATAATGCATCGGGACATACAAAGTGCTCAACAAGACACAACATATTTGTTCACTTGAGTTGAAAACATGCACATGCAGCATGAAACAGCAGAATAATACAAGAAAACAAATGACAGATACAAAAGAAGAATATGGAGTTCAGTAGGTACTCTAGGGTGAGTTCAGTACAATACCAGAAATTGCTGGTTGGGACAATAATAACATAAAAAAAGAAAAAGGACCAGACCACACCACAGTCAATACATAAAAATTAAGAGAGGTTTACATATGGCAACCCACTCCTAAGCAGCGAAAAACCTAATCAAATATCCCTACATAATCATAAGTGAGGCATCGTGGTGAAATCAGGCGCTTGTCAAAATACTGAAATTAAAGAAATCAGCTTTTTCCTGACTGACGAGCAATTTTTATTCAAATTTTCTTTCTTTGGCTCATCATCTTTTATTTTCATTTAAAAACACATTACTGTGTGGATTTTACAAAAAAACATTGATCAAAGGCACAAAAATATGTAAATTTGTTGTTTCCAAGGACATTACAGCTTTGGAAGTCACCAAACTCTAGTGGCCATTTTCTCGCTAAGTTTTATCTCGGACACAAGGCAATCCCCCCCTCCTTCAATAACAAATTCTGTTCGACCTCTATGACGGGTGTTGTTTTCATCGAACACAAGACCGATGAACAAATTGTAACACAATACCAATAACTCCACATGCCCAAAAATTGACAAGTGCCTGATTCCACTGCCTCATGGCACATATTTCTTTCCAACGCCTATCTCTCCTATCACATACCTGCCATAATATGTGGCAAGTACCACGATGGAATGAGTGGACCAATCAAAGACAAGGCTGGCAAGCTGCTGACAATCGAGAAGGAACAGGAAGCACGATGGACAGAACACTTCAGGGAAGTCCTAAACCAACCTCCACCTGAGGACACCCCAGACATACAGGAAGCTACCATGGATCTTGATATCAGCTTTGACCCACCACAGAAACATGAGATTGTAAAAGCTGTGAAGAGCATGAAAACAAGAAAATCTCCAGGAATGGACAACTTGAATGCTGAATGTTTAAAGTAGACCCAGAACTGACTGCCACCATTCTTCAACCACTATTCAAAACCATACGGGAGGGAGAGCAGATTCCCTAGGACTGGAGCACTGGAGTCATTGTTAAAGTACCAAATAAAGGAGCTCTTAAAGACTGCAACAACTGGAGAGGTATCACATTGCTATCAGTCACCAGCAAGATCCTGGCCAAGATTATTATTAATCGGATGTCGGATGCCGTAGACAGCTGCTTAAGAAAAGAACAGGCAGGATTCCGCTAAGAAAGAAGATGCACAGATCAGATATTTGCCCTCCGCAACATAATAGAACAGTGCACGGAATGGCAGAGACAACTTTATGTCAACTTCGTTGATTTTGAAAAAGCATTCAACAGTGTGCATAGAGAGAGTCTTTGGTACATTCTACAATCTTATGGAATCCCTTGCAAGATAGTGGAGGTCATCAAGAGCTTCTACCAAAACTTCAAGTGCGTTGTTGGAAACAGTACCACTGCTTTTGAGGTAAAGACAGGAGTTAGACAAGGATGCAACATGTCAGCAATTCTGTTCAACCTGGCCATTGACTGGGTCATGAGGAAAACAACAGAGGACACATCAAGAGGCAAAAGGTGGACCCTCTTCTCCATCCTCGAGGATCTTGACTTTGACGACGACCTTGCACTACTCTCCCATACCAACCAGCACATGCAGGAAAAAACAAACCGACTCCACAAATACGGACGCCAGATTGGGTTAAGAATAAGCCAGAAGAAGACAGAAGTGATGACACTGAATGTAGGCTCCCCAATGCTGATTAGAGTGAACAACACAGACCTGCCTATAACAGACTCATTTACCTACCTAGGCAGCATAATCAAAACTGACGGCGGCGCAAAGGAAGACATCATGAACAGACTCAGCAAGGCAAGATCCGTACACAGAAGCATGATCAACATCTGGAAGTCAGGACAGTTTAGTATACAAACCAAGTTAAAGCTGTATAACAGCTGTGTACTATCCACACTCCTATATTGAGCTGAAAGCTGGAAGATGACTGATCATGACCGTGCCAAGCTATCTTCCTTTCATACAACCAGCTTACGCCAAATCCTCAGAATCTTCTGGCCCGACAAGATATCCAACGCAGATCTGTTACGTAAATGTAGCCAAGAGGACATGACAACCATAATAAAAAGGAGAAGGTGGAGATGGATTGGACATGTTCTGAGAAGAGAACCAGACTCTATTGTGAAGACTGCCCTCCACTGGACACCTGAAGGACGTCGCAAAAGGGGCGGACCCAAAGTGACCTGGAGACACACAGTACAATCTGAAATGAAGTCCTGGAATCATTCGTGGGGAACGCTAACCAAGAGGGCCCAAAACAGACAGAGCTGGAGATCCTTTGTTGCTGCCCTAAATGCCAGATGGCATAATGGGTAGTAAGTAAGTAAGTACATACCTGCCAAGCCAAAACTGTACGCTCCTGTCATATCGGGCACAGAATATGGGGGTGGCTGATACAAGTCAATGAGGGACTGCCACTCTGTAAAGTTGTTGTCACCAAACCAGTAAAATGTCTCTGAGGATACCACAGAATCACAAGGAAATGACCAATCATCGAGACATGTGAGAATACCAGTATTTGTTTCAGATTTATCATTCGTCATGCTGCCTATAAGTAGGACAATTTTCCAAATTCCTTCAACAACTGGAAACACAACATAAAGCGGTTAGCAGTATCAGGGCAGGTAACTTATCACAACCCCCCAGACCATGATCAAATATAAAAATTGCCCTAAAAAAGCATGCAAGCGTATTTTACATATTTCCCTTAAGACAGGATCATAAGCAGGTCTTCTGCAACCCCCCCCTGCTTGTTAGTTTTAGTAGAGGTTTTACGGCACTCGCTACTGCATAAGGTCATATGAGCGCGAGAAGATTAGAGGTGTTACAAGAGAGTAACAAACATAAAAAAGAAGAAGGGGAGATAAGGACGATAGATCTTTGATAGGAAAGAAGAAGCAAACCATACCAGAGCACCCGCCAACCCTCCCCCCCCAGCGAAGAACAGACAAGTAAACAAATCCCAATACAATATAATTATAAATCATTTAGAAGTACACAAAATCTTCCAAAATTTTGGAAAGAGTAACATGAACTAATCTTTACTCCTTACCATTTCCTAAAGTTTTCAATGTCTGTGGCTTCAAATATTTATCCACATATTCTTGTAAGGTCACTTCAACTGTTAAGAAAACGAAAATTTAAAAAAATGTACAAGATCAAAGAGAAAATCATAAATCAGGGCATGAATGAAGTGCTCTTATGGCCACCTGTAGTTATTCTACTTAAGATGAGTCGATATTGTTGGGGGAATGAAAAGTGGCTGTCTTAGACAATTTCAGCTGTATGTATCAGGAACGACTATTGCTTTTCAAGAACATAAGTAATTTATAAAAATTTAATGTTCCTAAAAACAATTCTAAAATCTTTGACTAGGTCAAAACCTTCCAATTTGATCACACTGGTTGCAAAGTAAAAGGAGAGCCACCAATCACTGACAGGAATACAGTTAAAAATACAGTCGAACCTGCCCTGACGGCCACCTGCACAAACGGCCACTTTCCATTTCCCCCCTTGCATTTTTTCTATATAATTTATCTGTGTAAAACAGGCAC